AGATACCTTTCTGAGGCATTTTTATCAAATCAAAAAATGCAAAGAACAAATATACAGAAAATAAATTGCTATTTGTTCAAAGTTTACATTCAATTGACATAAGCGAACATCATCAAATCATAAGACACCACTAAGAAACATTCAGCTTTAGTAATAATTTTCCCATATAGGAAAAAGTGTTCCTAAGGTGACGTCTTTGATAATCATCTAAGAAATCGGCCTAAAATCACATGATTGGGCAACATTGTGGATGATCCGCTCTGTTGAACTTGATCTACATATTCTAAAACCCCAACACACTAAGTTTGGGGTGAACCAATCGTCGTTTGACCCTCTGTTGAGCCATGTGAAAAGTTCAATTCATCCGAAACCGTTAAAATTGATACGAGTGGATGAAGGGTCAAATGACGACGGATTCACCCCAAACTTGGTGTGTTAGGGTTTTAGAATATGTAGATCAAGTTCAACGGAACGGATCATCCACAATGTAGCTCAACCATGTGATTTTAAACCGCGCCCTTAGATGCAGAGACATAAAATAACTTTAGATACCGACATACATAAATAAAACATAGGGTGTGTTTGGTTAAAGTGTAACGGAACAAAAAATGCACAATTTACAGCCTAGAGTTCGTTCTCCTGGTGTTAGAACACTCCTTAATTTGAATGTCAACTACTCTTATATATCGCCTATTTTGTTTCTGCAACAATATTTTCAGTATTGCAACAAGGTCCAGCTAAATATGCATGCTAAAATTTTGATGTATCCAATTAGTCCTGGACGAACACAATCATACATACATAGTAGGCCAAAAAAAAGATAAAAAAAAAAATAAAAGAAAAAAAGAGAGAAAATCTTGTCACTGCCATTTGTTTCTGAAGCAAATTGAATGATGCAAAAAGACGTGTTAGTTACACCGATGAACTATTTTGTCATTACTCAAAGAAAAGATTTCTATTAACACTAACTTGATATCTTTACCACATCAACTAATCCTTACATTAAACCATGAGTATATTTCCATGGAAATCCTATTTTAATAATTGATCAGGTTGGGAACCAGTAACTTCAATAATATAGTATGTATGTTATGTAAAACTTGAAATAGGACATCTCTTTTCTTTTCCTTTTAGAGCCTGTTTGGTTCGAAAAAATTGGGTTGAAAACATGTGGAAAACTACTGACACTGTTTTCTTATGTCAGATTAACCAAAAATAATTCCTATTTTGCTGTTTGATACCCTAGAAAAGTTTTGGGAAACTTTTCCAAAAACGTCAAAAAACATCATAAAAAATGGAAAACCCAATTCTGAGTTTTTTACGTGAATTAAATTGGGTGGAAAACACATAAAGAAAATTTTAAAAAATGAGGCGATGCTTTTTAGCATTTCCTACTCCTTTGGTTTACACCATTCGAATGATGATTTCCAAAGCACCAAACCGAGGAATAGAAATATATGGCTTTTCTTAAAATGTTCATTTCCTTTTTTCAAGTTTGATCCAAAGTATGGATTTATGATAGAGAGGTTTCCCCCTTCCTTTTTTTTTTGCGAAACAAACCAAAAAAAGGGGGGGCCCAATAAATGAATAAAAATCTCAAAAAACAATTTTTTGCATTGGAATCCTTTTCCTATATTACTTGGAAATGAACAAAACAGGCCCTCATACTAAACCCTAAAGTCATCTTCCCAAAGGTTTACAATACAGGCTTTGTTGTTTGTTGCTGCTTTTATCTTCCTGCGTATTCTCTCTTAATTTACTCCTTGCTACATTACAGTAAATATCAACCTTAGATCGAAGCATAAATCCCCAAAGGCACCTCAACAATAATAACCAATTGGTCCAATTCATTATCTAGGTGTCTTCTTCATAGACATTGTAGAATATAAGTACTCTTCGGAAAGTTTAAGACCACGCGCTAATCACTAAATTGCATATAACCATCCTCATCTTTACTTACAATAGCACTTATCACTCTTCAACTTGGTTATCTGCATTTTTCACCCTCAATTCGTGGAGCGGGAGGTCGTCTGCATTTTATCCTTCTCAAAGCACCAACTCCAGGTGGCTAAGTGCATACATATGAGTTGAGCTTGATAAAGGCCACTGAGAGCATAGAAGAGGGGAGTTATCTGCAATATCTACAATCTACCGTTTGATCCAAAAGAATGGCAATCAACGAGGCTAAACATGAACACTACAATCCTGGTAAGATAACATGGTTGTGTTTTAAAGAACCAGGAATCTTAGATGAACCTTAGTTAATTATTTCAACATCAACTTTCACAGACTTCAGTGTTCTATCAGATAAGAGATAACCAACATCCATGATGCAAATTGCATATGTTCAACATATGGAGAAGAATTTGTAAATTCAGCATTCAACTGGCATTTGAAAACAACATCAAACCATATGAATCCGCGAAGAGAAGCATTCAAGAAGTAACAATCATTCTTCCATCAACGAATATTCTAATTAAGTCCATAATGAAAATTAAAGAAATCTAACATGATTGGTTAGGCCTATGATATGATCCTAATATAAATGATAATTGCATCCCTTCTTTAAATTGGCATTCAAGAACAACATAAAACTAACTCACCATGAGAAGTAGTCAACGTTAGCAATCATAATACTTCATGTCCAAAACAAAAATTAAAGCTCTAACATGATGGTCAACACGTGACATGATCCTACTTCTGATTGTGCTAAGATCCCTCTTCTTGGATGGCTCTGCAGCCAATGCATTCAGTGTTTTGGGACGGAAACATTTCCAAATGGCAGAGACAACACGCGGGTATGCCATGCCTTTATGTATGCATGTATATGTATGCAAATCCTTTGAGGATAAAGATCATTATGAACAGTGTGGTGCCACTTGCCATCTTGTATACAGTTATAGACAAGGAGCTTATATAACTTTCAGATGCACGCACATAGATACAAATCGCTTCCTATTATAAAGAGACTAATATTCCGAAGCACGCGATGCGCGCATGACACAGAACCTGAGGCCTGAGGGAGTGATGTAGTCAAATTGTCAAAGGAACGGACAGTTTGCTCGTTTCTATTTGGATTTTTCCAGGTTTTAGGGAATTTCTGGATTTCTCAGTGTGTGAGGACTGGTAAGGTTCCTATTGTTAGGGAAACCTGCGGGAGAGTTGTAGTTGAATTCTTAAGGGAAGGGATACTTTGTTCCTTTTTTTTGGATTTCCCAAGTTCTAGGGCATTTCTGTTGATTTTTCCATGCATGAGGGCATTTTTCCTAATTTTCTCAAGTGTGAGGGCATTTTCCTTTTTACAGAATATGAGGGAATTTCTAGAAATTTACAAATGAAGCTCGCAAACCAAAAGGGGGGCTTCTTTTAAATGAAGGATACATGGACCCATATTGCAAACTGCATATACTAAAAAAAACTTAAAGTGAGAATAAATAAATATATAAAACCAAAATGCACCTCATGCAAAGATTTAGCAACCACTTCAAGCTGACATACATTCAACATAGCAATCATTTATTTTCCCATCAACAAATTAAACTCATCAAAGTCCAAAACATAACGTAAAGAAATCTAACATGACGGTCAGACCTGTGACATGATCCTACTTCTGGCGTTGCTTAGCTCCGTGCTTCTTCGACGGCACAACTTGTGGCTTCGGATTGCGTTCAGCCTCGCTTGGATCCAACCAAACCAAGGGGTGGCGATTGAAGAACGGCCAACTGGGGAGTGTAACCAACGCGGTCAAGATGATTCCACCGGCGTATATAAAAAGCATCATTTGGAACGATCCGACAGCATAGCCAACAGCAAAGGCCATGGCCGCAAATGCAATGAGCATGATCTCCATGGTCTTCTCCGAGAGCTTCTGACCTTGCCAATCCATCTAAATATATAGGGCACAAGAGTAATGGTAAGTAACCCGAGTTCGAAACTTCTGCACTGAACAGCCAACAAAAAAGTGTAAACTTACAGGCTTATAATCTAATATTGGAACTGATATATTTGCGTGCAGGCGCGATCCAATTGCTCAAGGCTAAACTTTCACAGCAAACAGGCAAAATAAACCATGAATTTTTGCACCGACCTAAACAAAAGTGCAAATTTTGTTCAATGTTATAGGACAATCTTAGTTCTGAATTAATTTGAAAAATCGAAACGAGAATTAACCCACATATCGAGGGAACTGAGGAACCCAAAAGGTAATAATCCAGCTCATAAACCCTAAAATCTCAAACTTGGTTCGAAAAGGAAGTGTTTAATCACAAAATTCTGCACAATGTCTAGTCCAATTGAAGAAAAGCTCGATCAAACACGGATCAGGGCATTAGAATGAAATCAACGCCCTAAACCCCCAAAAAAAGACTCAAATTTAATCGATAAAATTCGTAAAAAGAACACTCAAAAAGGAAATACTACCGGATCCGAGGAGATCACGACTTCGCGAGTACGGAAACGGCGACAAAAGGGAAATGCTCAAAGAAACGAAACGATCAGTGAAATCGACGCATACTCACGGAAGTTGAATGTTTACTAAAAGGGACCCCCAGCAAATAGATTTTGCAGAAGTGCGAGTTTACTACTGGCAGAAAAGCCCTAACGTAAGGTATAGAACAAATTTTCACTGTAGACCCAAAACAATTTTTAATTATCAAAATCGACCCATTTTTTTTAATTACCAAAATCGACATGTTTTATGCCACGTAAGCTTAATCACATTTCCTAATTAGTCAGGGTTGTCAACCCCGACTGTTTAGGAGTTGTTAAACCCCAATTAGAAGCATTAAACTCAATTTTAATGCCCTAAACAGTCGGGGTTGGCAACCCCGACTAATTAGGAAATATGATTAAGCTTACGTGGCATAAAGTGGGTCGATTTTGGTAATTAAAAAAATGGGTCGATTTTAGTAATTAAAAGTTAGTTTGGGTCTACAGTGAAAATTTGTTCTAAGGTATATTTAAAATGCTGTCTGGAGTTCAAGCGAGACTGGGCTTTAATCTAGGCAGCCCAGGCCCATTAGCTTGTCACAACTCAAGAGTATCGATTAGGGGTGGATAGAGTCCGGATACATGTATTTATCTACTTAACAATTACAGATATAGATACAATTATAAACATGTCTCAGTAAGAAAAATTTATATTCATATCTGTAAAGAATTAGAAACAGCTACGGATATGCATGCTGATATATAAGCGGATATATATGCGGACACAAAATGGATATGAGAAAACTAGAGAATATTGCAAAAGATTTAGATTAAAAAGCTAAAATTATATATATTGATCATCAAAATTAATCTCTATTGGCACATGGACCCGCCCAGTTGAGTAGGTGGATCACCTGGTTCGGTTTATATAGGATAATTAAGCGGGTATTATGAATAAGGTAGAACTCTAATTGAATTAGGGTTTGTAACTCTATTCCTTGTATAAACACATGTTGTTATGGTGTTTTCAGTCGTCAAAGTACGGCCCTTTCCCAGCAACGGACATGTGTTCCCCTACATACACCGTTCAAATCGAATTGATGGTTAGGACCACCACGAATCCCGACTTAGCCGACTCGACGAGTCGACATCTCTTTAGATTACGAGCCCACTCGACCAGTTGTTCGACACCTTGCAGGGTCGACTCGAAAGGCGTTCCTTCTTGACACCCCTCGCTATAAGCCAAAGGATGTCTTCAACCTCAAGCCTCCCCTGCTGATAGCACGTCGGCGTCACATTAAATGCTTGACAGGCGTTATCATTCCTCTAGCCTCGATAGTCTTCATGACTCATCGGACCATGTCGGCACCGCCATGCCCCAGTCACTTCACATTGAATACTGAGGTGACCTCACCTCCACTCATCGACCGACACCTATAAAGAAGGTACTGACGTAGCCTCCGTCCCATACTCGTTTGCCGCCATCCTGTACTTGACCGAGATTATCATTCTATCCTTTTTTCCATCACTATAAATAAATGTACTATTCCAAATACCAAAGCAAGCAATATCTGAGAATTCCATTGCACTACATTTGAGAACTCACATGATTCATCACTTTCCCACTCAAGTCCATCAATTGACTTGATCGTCAGAGGAACAACGGGGGAACTAGTCCCCGTCATCTCACGAATTGCTATTTTGTGCAGGCTAAAGCTACTCAACTTTAAATTAGATATTCAGAGAAGTTAGCGGACCACTGATCAATCTCACCCTCATTATATTATATTTGTGATTATTAACATCAATAGTTTGGCGCCCACCGTGGGGTCTTATTTTTTTTCATGCAAGTATGTCTGGTTCTGAGTATAGGGCTGATCAGTCTCACCCTGAAGGACCACACTAGAGCTATGTTAGTCAAGCTCAGCTTGAATCTTAATCTCTCCAATAGCAACTCGCTACCTTCACCAGTGAGCTCCTTAGCCGGTTCCACAACCGCAGCAAGCTACTTTCGCTGTCCCCCCGCCTTCTGAAGACTTGCGATCGGAGACTCACCCTCCTTCTAGAACACAACAAATAGTCTCGCCTCAGACTCCTCATGCTGCTGCCAAGCAGCGAAGGGATCACGTCGAGTACACGACCCCACCATCGCATCGGTCGATTCACCCAGAGGAACCTTGTCGACGTCTCTTCCCTGATCCTAAAGTCATCGGTGAGAATCCTGGCCTTGGTCACCCCTGGAGATCACACTAGGGGAACAGTCTCTAAGACTCTCCTCTACCACCATGCCTCTCCGACCCCCTCTGCTATCGTAGGGGCCTCTAGTTATGATTAGGCGTACAGACTGGTCGCAAAAGCCATCAGGGGGAACACCCCCCTTTCCGATGATCTCATTAACGCCCCATGTGAGAAGTTCAAGATGCCTCATGTGGAGAAGTATAAGGGCGAAGGAGACCCCTCCGAGCATGTCCAGAACTATTATGATGTAATGAGCATGCTCCAAGCATCAGAAGCGGTTATTGCCAATGCTTCCCCAACACTGTCAGGGAGCACCAAGCTCTGGTGGAACACCCTCGAGAAGAAGTCTATCAGCAGCTTCCAGCAACTCAGCTGAAAGTTCATCCACCACTTCTCGGCTGACACCAAACAGAAGCTTCCCCCTCATGTGTTAATCCAGATGAGGCAAGAGCCTGGAGAAAGCCTTTGAGCCTACTTCAAGAGGTTCCAGGAGAAGAGACTGGAGGTTAATGACCCAGGGAGTGCGGTTTCTATATCCGCTCTTGTGCCCGGCTTGCAAAACAATGAAGTGGCCGACTCGCTTGCCAAGAATCTGGTCACCAATTATGAACAGCTAATGGCCAAAGCTTATGGGTATATGGACATGAGGATACCCGAGTTTATAAGGCAGCAGTCAAGGACATAGAGACCTCCACAGCCACGACCTTAGCAGCAGCAACAGCAACAACAGAAGCACTAGCACCACCCGCACCATCGACACCTGACGGAATACCAGTGTCGGAACTGACACCAGAGTCGACGAGAGCCCTCCCAGCAAGCCAGGAGTGGCCAAGAGACCCCTCGAGTGTCGGATCCCACTCAAATTGATCTGAAAGGAGGGACCGATAGAGGGACCCGGCGCCAAGGCCCGCTCTCACAGTCCTCAACACCTCCCTTGCAAAAGCTCTCGCCATGGTCCTGAAATTACCCTAGAGGGGGGTGAATAGGATAATCGAAAAATAAATGTGTAATTAATGAAATTCAATCCAACACAAGACACAAATTTAAACTATGATAATAAATAAGAGAGTGAGTTAGAGAATAGTTATCCAAATTGGCATGGCGATATGTTCACGAGGTTCGGTCCATACGACCTACGTCCCTGACCACCTCTCCCGATGGTAATCCACTAATCACACCCGGTTTGGAAGCCGGAACTTCTTCACAACGATCTCCCCTGAGATCTCATAATCCACACAATGATCTCCTCGAGATCAAGCTCTCCACACAATATAATAAGATAGAAAAATCTCTCTTACAGTAATCCTATAGCAAGGATTAAGAGATGACAATTGAAGCTTGGGGTTGTGGGTTTTGAAAGTGCAAAATCAAAATTGAGAAGGATGAGAGTTTAAGCTCAAAACACACAAAAACACAAAATCAAAGATTTTTTTCTTGCTTGCTTAGTTACTGAACAAATGGGGGCTGGAAGATATTTATAGGCACTTGAAACAATAGCCCAAACCCCAAAAAACCTCAAAACTAACAAAATCTCTAAAATTTCGAACTCTGGAAATTTGACCGTTATAGTACTTTCGGTCGACCGATAGACTATGTTCGGTCGACCGACAATATGACCGTTGGCAGTCTAAAACGTTACAAGCTTATTCGGTCGACCGACAATGTTGTATCGGTCGACTGAACCCACTCCATCGGTCGACCGAACATTGTGTGTCGGTCGACTGATGACCGATTTTCTGTAGGGTCTGTAAATAGACCCTCTGGTCGGTCGACCGACTGGTATGAACCGGTCGACCGAAACTGATACATTTCCAGACACCTGATTTTTTATGAAAATCTGACTTTGTAAATTCAAATAAAAATAACAAATAAACTCTAAAATAGTAAAATTTTGGGGAATGATTATAAACATGAAAACAAACATGTTTGAGAAGAAATTTTTGAAATTTTATTTACCGTTTGTAAAAACACACTATTTTGTAAAATGGTTAAAAACACAAGTGTGTGTGAATGATCCCCAATCGCTTCAAAAGTAATCTACTTAAATTATTGCCTACATTATGACCTAGAGAGAAAATAAAAATGCAAATACCGCTCACGAATGATACATAAGTCTTGAGCCTTGATATTTGCTAAATTGTTGATGAAGCTCCTTTTGTATATATATTGTACTTGAAAGCTCTTCTTCATCAACTTATCTCCACCTCCATGGATATTATCGTTGTGGCGCAAAACTCACTATTTTGTAAAATGGTTAAAAACACAAGTGTGTGTGAATGATCCCCAATCGCTTCAAAAGTAATCTACTTAAATTCTTGCCTACATTATGACCTAGAGAGAATAAAAATGCAAATACCGCTCACGAATGATACATAAGTCTTGAGCCTTGATGTTTGGTAAATTGTTGATGAAGCTCCTTTTGTATATATATTGTACTTGAAAGCTCTTCTTCATCAACTTATCTCCACCTCCATGGATATTATCGTTATGGTGCAAAAAACCATCCAACCTCCAATAGTGGCACTAAATTTCTTGATAAAATACATCCTGCGTTATATCACTCAACAAGCAATTAGTATTAGTAATGGGGTTTGTAAATCATCATCAAAACAAGAGACCTAATAATCTCCCCCTTATTGATGATGACAAACCACCATTATAAAGGAGCATAAATAAAATAAACTTATACTTATAGATAGTTGCTCCCCCTATCTATAAGGTTCTCACCCTATCTATGTGAACAAAGAATAGGAGATCTTTCTCCCCCTTTGTCTACATCAAAATGGGGTATAAAAGTAATATACATGTTGGAAAACCCACAAGATACTTCTCTAAGTGTTGGCCTATCCGTGTCATA